CTCTTTCTTTATTGTTTCGTCAAGTTTGCTTTCAAAGATCTTTGAGTACACAAAACTCTGCACACTGATACTAAGCACAAAAGCCCCAGATAATAGGTATGATAAGTGCTGGGAAAAGCCGCGACTGAATCATGAACTCGACACACTGGTTTTTGCTTTTTGTGTTATGTTTTGGGTTTTTTTTTTCAAACTGGCTTCCTTCTTCTGTGACTTTAGGAGTACAGAACTGAAGCCAATCCATGCATTTGCCACACTGTTTATTCCCGGTTGGGTTTCGGTGGAGCTGAAGTACTCGAGTGAATGATTTACAACACAAGGAGCGCAGAGCTTCCAGAAATCAAAGAACCCCCGGGAATTCCAGGAAATGAGAGACAGTTTTCCTACTTCCAAGTGCTGACCGAAGAAGAGAACTGTGATTGATAACTGTTTGCTTTTACCCTCAAATATTCAAAAGTTTTAGTTGGGTTGTCTGTCTGCCTGGTGGGTGGACCTGAAGCCTACATTCCACATCTGTGTGATTATTTCTCTCTGACGTTAGGTGTCGTGTCAGGACACGTTTGCTTACTTGTCATAACCAACCACCGTCAAATTACTAAAGATCACACTTCTAAAAGTTTTTGATGAGAATACAAAAGATTTGCTTGTGGTTTTGCAAGTTTAATAGAAGTGGTTATTGCTTTGTGCCCGTGAGTGCAGCAATGTTTTAATAACTTCAATTTCATCCTTGGAACTGACATCAAGCTGCAGAAGAATCCAAATCAAAAGCAGAACCTTAAAAAAAGGGAAATAAAGACATGAAAACCAGTCATTGAGGGGCATGATTTGAGGAAAAGTTAACTGGTGGTTGTTTCTTTAGATTGCTCTGCTGATCTTTTTTTCTCAGGAAATCTAAAAGTTAATGTGACATGTTCATCCTCTTTCTTCTGTGAGAAAAAAAAAACACCCCTCGTGTATTAAATGCGTGGAGGAGGGACATATAAACAGAAGTGAAGTGTTTCCAGAACGCACTTGCAACAGAGCTTACAGCTGCAGAGGGAACGGCCGGGCTTTAAACAAATGTTTTCAGTGCTGTGACCAACACTGGGCTATTAAGATATACTATATCTCTGAGATCTGGCCTCCTTGAAAGAGCAAGTATGTCTTACATGACTGCTGTGGCACTACTGGTTTTCCTGGTCATACATGAAGGTGAGTGTATCTACCAAATGTATAGATGGAAATGAAATCTTTACAACCTTTATCAGCATGAGAGTGTTTGGCATCATGTGCAGACGCATGAGGTCTTACTTGCTGGAGAACAGACACTGATTGCTTAGCTGCTTAATCATATCCTTTTCCTGCAAAATCCCCAAAATCTCAGGAAACAGTGCGATGGATCAAGGTTCAAGGATCCGATGTCAGTGCATCACCAAGGAGAAGAGGCGTATTGGGCGTCTCATAGGACTGGTGGAGGTGAACCCTCCAACGTCTCACTGCAAAGACACTGAGATAATGTATGTCCTCCAGCCAAGTTGTAAAGATAGGATACTCACAGATACTTTCAACATTCTTGAAGAAAATACCTACGTTTTAATAGGTCTAGGGATAGCTATGTTGCAAGTTTTCACAAACTCTCTGATGTCAGGAGTGATACCACTATTCTTATTATGTGTATTTGGTCCTGCAGTGCCACTCTGAAAAAGGATGGGAAGAAGATTTGTCTGGATCCTGCAGCTCCGTGGATCCAAAAAGTGCTAAAGAAAAAGTCTGGGTGAGTCTAGCCTCACTTTGTGTTCATGTGACTAGCTGGGCAGAAAAGTAAAGTAATACGGATTAGTTCTTGTCCGGGACATGTGGCGGAAAGAAATGTCATCTTGACATCCTAGAAGCTTCATGCAAGCGTTGGGTATTTAGTTACATTTGTTCCAGCTGAATGGTAGGATGCCCATGTGCTTCTCGGGGTTATGAAAGATAAGATTGTTGGCAGAAAGAAACAAAAACAATAAACAAGATCAATGACTGATATTCCATTTAAAATATAGTTGTGAATATTTAATCAGTACTTCATAGTTCAATATCACTGCATTGTGACCACAGAGTGAGCAAATGGCACAGATTTTCTCTTTTGCTGTTATAAGTGACCTGATCTACCTCTTAAGACATGAGCAACCTCTTTTCTTCTTTCTAGGCAGACACCTTAAAGCACCAATTGCGACTTTGGAGAAAGTTTCAAGAAGAATCCATCGACAGTAAAGATTTCAGATGCCAACTGGAATGTTTAGGGCGGCCCAGACCAAAGTTCATGTAAAACACAGATAGCCTACAGAGTGAAAGGGAATGAATTCATGGTCAACTGTGTTGATATATCTATGTCTTCATACTTTTTGTAATAAAGTGAAAAAAATTGTGTTTGTATTTTGTATTTTTTACCAGGAAATAGGAGATATCTCAAATATTCTTATGGCAATGTCTGTGCAAGTTCCACGTTTTCCTTTTCTTTTACTTACGCCGTCTTTGCTTCGTATTTTGCAATAATAGAGAATGTGGATTTTTTTAATCCTGTCTGTGACTACATTAGCCTTATGTCAGCATATATAAATATATATACTTTTGTTTTGTTTTTGCAATAAAATGATAATTGTGTATAAGAAATCTTTACCTTTTTTTTTAGAAAAAACCACAAAAGCCTTTTTATTTTTTATTTTTTTTGCTAAACTCAATGACACTCATCCACCTATCACTGTGTCATGTGTCCATCTCACTTTTTGCCTAAATCAAAAATGAAAAAGCAGACGGAACAGTGGTGTAGTGGTTAGCACCATCGCCTCACAGCAAGAGGGTTTCTGAAAGGTCCTGGGTCTGTGGGGAGTTTGCATGTTCTCCCTTAGTCTGTGTGGGTTCTCCGGCTTCCTCCCACAGTCCAAAAACCTGCATATTAGGTTGACTGGACAGTCCAAATTGCCCTTAGGAGTGTCTCTGTGTGGCCCTGTGATGGACTGGTGGACCGTCCAGGGTGTACCACACCTCTCGCCCATTGACCACTGGGATAGGCTCCAGTCCCCCCCGCGACCCCATTAGGAAATAGGTAGAAACAATAATGGATGGATGGAAAATTAAAAGGCTCCTAATTACATACCCACGAACAGGAAAAATCATGTATACAAGGTGGAAAGATGAGCTAATTTTTAAGCTGGACTCCCCAACACTCTCGCTCTTTTATTTCTCTCCACAGAGGACAAAATAGATGAAAAACTCATTTGAAAAGGACATTTCAAAGGAAAAACTGGAAAAGGTGAAATAAGCCGTTCTGGAGTTGGACCACAGACGTAGTACATGCAGTCAATGTGTCTGCAGGGGGACATCGCCATCTCCTGGACATAAATCCACACTATCTGGAACATCAGTTTGCATGGTAGTACAGCCTTACTTTGATCAAAGCTGGAACGTCCCTGGCATCATTGTTAAGCAAGCATTTATTACTTCCTTGCTTGGAAAAATTAACAGGAAATACAGAGGAATTATCTTAAATCAACCTTATCAGGTTCCCTCAGGAAATGTGGGATTCATCTGTGGCATTATTAAAAGGAACCCTGGTTTTGAACTGTTCATTGCTGTAAAAAGTCCAAATACAATGTGCTGTTAACTATCCATCCATCCATTATCAATACCGCTTATTCCCTGATGGGGTCGCGGGGGGAACTGGAGCCTATCCCAGTGGTCAACGGGCGAGAGGCAGGGTACACCCTGGACAGTCCGCCAGTCCATCGCAGGGCCACACACAGGACATACAACAACCACTCACACTCACATTCACTCCTAAGGGCAATTTCCCCAATCTCCAATCAACCTAACATGCAGGTTTTTGGACTGTGGGAGGAAGCCGGAGAACCCGGAGAGAACCCACGCAGACACAGGGAGAACATGCAAACTCCACCCAGAAAGGTCCTGGTTCCCCCGGGATTCGAACCCAGAACCCTCTTGCTGGGAGGCGACAGTGCTAACCACCACACCACCGTGCCGCCCGCTGTTAACTATTATCATTTGAAATCCTGCCAGATTCTAGCAGTGTTTCCACCAATCCTGTTCTCCATAACCATTTTTATATCATCAGCACAGAGGCTCATTTAAGTCTGTTAAAGCAGAGAAAACTCTAAAACTTTCAAGACAGCAGCCAAATTCGGACACCTGGTAGATCAAGAATTCTGAATGCGTTCTGATAAATATTCTGACTAAAAGTCAAACTAGTAAAGTGAAAACTGGAAGTTTTTATTTTATTTAGAACAAATCATGCATTTGTTTTCAGAAGGTTTTCTCCTTTTTTCCCCATATTTCAGATATTCTCATCCAATTTTGACTATCAAAATACAACAGGACCACTGGGATAGGCTCCAGTTCCCCCCGCGAACCCATCAGGGAATAAGCGATATTGATAATGGATGGATGGAAAATACAACAGAGCCCCCAGGTAACACGGCTTTTTTTTCTTTTGTGTTCTCATTCAATACTTTTGCTTGCCTATAATCATGCAGGTTATCCACTTAGTTTGCGTCAGCGTGGACACAATGCGGCACCAACGCCCTTTGAATAAGTTTATATGGTTTTATTTTGAGATCTGTCTCCAATAGAAAGATATTCAAACTGTGCTGGGAACGCAAAAGTATTGCGTGGGGACGCAAAAGGGGAAAAACAAGCCATTTAACCTGGGTGGGGTAAGATACTGAGAATAATGGAATAATGGCCTTGGAGGCAGAAATATTAGCCTACGACGGGGCTTTAAAGAGACTGGGCCAGGTTTATTCAGACGCTTTGCGTGGCCACCTCTGACAAAAACCGCCCCCCCTTCCCTTCCCTCCCCTCCCATCCACCCCCATCCACCCCAAGGTGCGCGCGAGCGCGCGTGTTCGGGGAGGGCTGGGCTTAGGTCAACGCCCACAATTTTTTTGGGAAGCGGAAGATGGAGAACTCGTTTTGTCTCCTGCCGTAAACTGGTCGCCCGAGCCCCGAGCCCCGTTTCTCCCCCCATGGCACGTCCGCGGGCGCCGTGGAGCGTTGCGAGCCCCGGTGGAGGCTGCGAGGAGACCGGCGCCGCCGGGTAGATAGCCGGCGGAAAAAACGTCGAGCAAACGACGTGTGGCGTTTCTTCGAACTATGGCAAACTGCTGAGAGGTGAGCCCTGCGTTCTCCGTGATGTTTACAGCTAACCAATGGCCGCCCCCCCCCCCCCCCCATACCTAGCATTACCTCGCTAGCTAACCATCATTTAGTCGTTGTAAACTTTGAGGTAAAACGCCGCAGCTCTGGGGGTGGAGACTAGTTATCCCTGGGTAAAGTCAACTGGAAGAAAATATTCATTTATTTATTTATATTATGTCGAATGTTCGCTATTTTTTGTTCATTGTTTGTTTTGTATGTTTGTTTGTTTCCCCCCCCCATTGGAATAAAATACACTATTGTCGCGACACTGACATTGGTTACGGGAGCCCTTAAGGAACACATCTGTATGCTGTTGTGTGAATGTTGTTGTTTTTCTTGTTGCTTTAACTGCACGTGCGTGTGCACGCCTGTCATGCCGTTTCCAGGTACCTCCTCCCTCCCCCACCTCCCCCCAACTCCACCCTGGCGTCACGGTGCTCCTCTGCTGCCATGGAGGTGGGTTGCCTCCCCGTGGAGCTGTGGAGGGTGATCTTGGCCTATCTCCCCCTCCCAGACCTGGGCCGCTGCTGCCAGGTGTGCCGTGCCTGGCGGGAGCTCATCCTCTCTCTGGACAACACCCGCTGGAGGCAGCTCTGCCTGGGTTGCCCCGAGTGCCGGCATCCCAACTGGCCCAGCCAGCCCCACCTGGAGCCGCCGTCCTGGAGGGAGGCGCTGAAGCAGCACGCCCTGTCGGCCCGCACCTGGACCCGGAATGGGCCGGAGCTCCAGTCCTCCGCCTGCCTCTTCTTCTTCCGCCGGAGAAAAGACCGCCGGGTCTGGCACGTGGGGCCCGGCTGCGAGTTTGAGACCTTACGAGGGGTGCTTGGGGCGGTGGGACCGTATGACCGCGTGGTTCTCCATCCGGGGGTGTACGAAGAGCAGGCCGAAGTGACGCTGAAAGTGCCCGTGGAGCTCGTCGGTCTGGGCCGACTGGGCGAGGTGGCCCTTCTAGTGTGTATGGAGCAGCAGTGCCCGACCGCCAGGTTGTGTAACCTGGTTTTCATGCCACCCTGGTTCTCCACCGTTGTGTACAAGGTGAAGTCTCATTCATTTTATATTGTGTTTTTCTTTCACTCCATTATATCCAAAATCCTATCCAAGTAACTGCATACTTTTTTCTTCCTGGCTTAATCTGTCTGACTGTGATCCTCTTATTTCTCGCTCTCCCGCAGACATCCTGGGGTCACATTCAGCTCGATAACTGCAACTTTGAGGGGGCCCAGCTGCAAATCCGTGGCCCCGGCACCTGCCAGGCTCGTTTCTGCTCCTTCTCGCAAGGCAGCTCTGCCCACCTGCTGGGTGTTGTCCTCAGTCTGTTGGACAGCTGTGATTTCTCAGGGAGCGACACAGCTTCTGTCACCGTGGAAGGTCCCCCGGTGTCAGAGAGGAACTGGGCTTGTAAACACTTGGCTGCCCTCGCCAAGACCTTCCCATCGGATTCTTTGTGCTCTCCCAAAGGCCCCCATGCCGCCCCCGCGGGCGAGCCGGACCCCCCGCGTGGAATCGTCAACAAGGAGCACGCACGCATGGAGGACTGGAAGACGAGGACTGGTGGGGAGGCGGGTTGTCAGGGCACACTTATTGAAGACGGGTGGAGCGATGGGGAGCGCAGCGAGGGCGAGGAGGAAAACCGCCACGGAGAGGGAGCAGACAACGCTGAGAAAGAATTGATGTGGGATTACAAAATCCCCTGCGGCCACCACGGCCTGTCCCATTTGCTCAGGCCCCGGGCGGATGGCTCCCTGCCGCTCGCGTCCTCCCCCGACCCACCATCTGCAACCCCTCAGCCCCTCACCCTTCTGCAGGAATTGGAGCAGGACCCCGATGCAGCGTTACTGTGGACGTCCGCCCTCGGCTGCATCCTCAGACGCTGCCTCTTCCGAGACGGGAAAGGCGGCGTCCACGTGTCTAACTACGGCCAGGTTCGTCTGGAAGACAACATATTCCGCGGGCTGAACTACGCCGTCCGCTGCATACAGAACTCCACGGTGAGTAAAACCGCCACTCCTTCGTTTGTGATCAGTCTTCGAAACTCATCCTTCAGCAACTCGACGTGTCAAGGTTAGTGACTCTCATAATCGGAGTGCCATTTGAGTAAAAAGTATCAAGTTAAAGGGAGCGGCTCGGATGGATAGCAATGTAGCAGGAGGTGTAACTTTAGCTCTCTCTTTTTCTTTCTTCCTCTCTCTCTCTCTCCTCCTTCAGATTGTGATGCTGAGAAACGAGGTGTGCGAATGCCGGGCGTCAGGTGTGTTTCTGCGCCTGTCCGCTCGGGGCCTCATCGCAGAAAATAACATCCACTCCAACGGGGAGGCGGGCCTGGACATCCGAAAAGGAGCTAACCCCACCATCCTGGTAATCAATCCAAAACCATTTTGTTAATAACTCTCATAGAGGTGCACCTGCGTGGCTCCAAGTGTTAATAAAGAAGAGTGTATATCGTGCTTTGTGTGAATTCTCCCTTTCATTCTGCAGTGCAACAGAATTCATGGCGGTCTTCGTTCCGGGATCGTTGTTCTTGGCAACGGGAAGGGTTCCATTCGGAGCAACCTGATCTACAACAACAAGGAAGCCGGTGTTTATATTCTCTTCAGTGGGAACCCTGTGGTGAGGTGAGCTGGGGTCTCGCCTGGGATGGTGTCGACCCAGCGGTTTGCCATTATTTGGCTATTTTTCAGTGTTCGTCACTTCCCTGTGGGTTTTGTTTTTTTGGGGGGGGGTTTTGATTTTTTTCCTTAGGGTTTTCACGGGTGGACAAAATGATCTAGGTGATGAAAATCAAAAGCAGGGTTTTTCAGCGGAGACCGCCGTGCCATATTTCGAATTGAATACTTTTACTTTTTACACGTTCATTCCTAATAAGACTGCCCTTTTTTCTCTTAACTTTACGTCTTAACTTTAGCATGTGACGCACTTCTCCTGTTTTACTTTTTCTTCCCCAGCGGTAATCACATCTTCCAGGGCCAGGCAGCAGGGATTGCCATAAATGAGAATGGCAGAGGGGTGATAACAGGTGTGTAACGCAGCCCCCCCCTTCACTCTAAATCATCTGTCACCATGGTTGGATTCAGCATGTGCACGTGACGGCATTTGAAATGGGTAATGATTCATTGGAATTTATTCCAGAGAACGTGATCAGGGAGAACCAATGGGGGGGCGTGGACATCCGCAGAGGAGGCGACCCCATCTTGAGGAACAATTACATCTGCCACGGCTACTCAGATGGAGTGGTGGTGGGAGAAAGGGGGCGCGGCCTCATTGAGGGAAACCACGTCTACTGTAGGTCAATTCGGCCTCAGAGTGGCAGCAGCAAGGGATGTGATTGGTTCATCACGGCTCACCTTCACACGTCTGATTTCTTTAGGTAATAAAGGCTGCGGCGTGTGGGTTATGTCGTCCAGCCTCCCGCAGCTCCTGGGAAACTACATCCTCCATAACTGTATGTACGGGCTGGCGGTGTTCTGCCGGAAGGACCCGGGGAGCGTCGAGTCCCGGGAGGGGAGCTGGCCCGGGCAGGACGGGGTCGGCGGAGATGCCGGCGTCGGGGAGAGGAGGGGGGTGGAGGGAGAGGGACGGGAGGGACAGGAGAACTTCAACGAAGAGGGCGAGCTGTTTGCCTGGGAGAGTGACCTGGACAGCGAGGACGAGCGCCACTCCGCTCGCCGCTCCATCAGCGTGGCCCTGGTGGAGGGCAACTGCGTGAGCCACAACGGAGGTGCTGACCGGTCCCGTCCAGTCGGATTCAAACAGCGGCTCTGTGTCTCAAACCTTTTCCCCCAACCCCTTCTCCGCCTTTTGTTTCCGCAGCGGTGGGCCTGTACGTGAAGAGCAGCGAGGCCCTCAACGTGTTCGCCAACCTGGTCAACGGCAACCGGGGCCTGGGCGTGGCCGTGCTGCAGAGCAGCCAGCTGACCCGGCTGGTGACCAACTGCGTGCTGAAAAACAGCCGCGGCGGCGTGACGGTGGAGAAGGACTGCAGGGTGGAGCTCCGCGGCAACGGCGTCTACGACAACGGCGGCCACGGCGTCCGGTTCAGCGGCAGCGGGCAGATCGTGGAGAACGACGTGGTCGGGAACACTGGATACGGCATCCAGGTGTCGGCAAGCACGGATGTCAAGGTGAGAATTTTCAGTCGCTTCTTGAAAGGAAATGTTGACTAAAGGCATAAGCGTAGGATTACACATACCTCATATGCAATCGGCCGAATTTGCTCATTACTTCAGCTCATTTACAGTGTAAATAATGATGTCTTCTTTTTTTTTTCTTCTCTTTTCTTAGATAGTGCGCAATCGCGTGCAACCCGCACAGGGCTGTGGCATTGCTCTGCTGGGGCCCGTAAAAGGTGCAGTGCATGATAACATCTTGTTCCAGGGCCACCCAGAGAACAAAAAAACCCTGCTGCACATGGACCCTGGCAACGAGAGCTGCGTGTTGTGCAACAACAGCATACTGAGGCACAATAGCAGGTAAGTGAGCAACTCTTTCCCGGCTTATTTTTAGATGCCAACGGGCGTGCAAATTCTATTCCCGTACACCTTCAACCGATGCGATCTGCGCAGTCTCGGTAGCTTCGGAGACGTGCTTCTAAAAGCTGTGTCACTAACTCAGGAACCGGTTTGAGAGGATTAATGACCACAGTCTGCTGATCGTTTCCCCAGTAACGCTGTGAGATAATGGACAGATTCTCCTTTTAAGGCTTTCATCAAGTCTTTGTCCTAAATGCATCATTTATCTTGCCGGGGTGTTTTTTTTTTTTTAAGATTTAAAGCCTAATCTGAAGCTTAATGTTAAAGCAGCCTTTTTATTTCGCAGTACTTTCACGCTGCTGATTTGACAAAAAAACAAACAATCCTCCATGTGGTCTTTGCTCAGCAGCAGACGGTCAGCACCTAACAGAGCAGGACCTTCAGCATAGAAAGAGATAAAACCATAAACAACAACAAAACAAGGAGGGAATATTGGTGATGGATATGCAAAGTAAAGTCATTCTAAATAAGTGTAACTGCACAAAGGAACTTGTGTTTTCTCAAATCTTTTACTTTTTCCAGCTCTACACCCGCTCCTGCCTGGATTTTGAAAAACCCCCCTCCTCGCCCACTGGCCAGCTCCCATCCCGGCCTGTCCTCGTCCCAGTATCCCTCCAGACTCGGCATTTCCATGACTGCCAGGGTCGGCGCCACGGTGGAAAGCGGCTGCCACAGCGGCAGCATGTTTTGCTCCATCCTGTGAACCCGGCAAGAGCTCACGCAAACCAGCGCCGATTCCGGTGGACCCATGTCTATTTCTCATCATTTTTTGTTTGTTTGTTATTTTTAATGGCATGCTTGTGGTCCAAGTGGAGTGCACTGACTTCCCAAAAACGATGCAGTTTATTGTCTCAAGAAGTCAAAGAACAAGGCATTCTTCCGAATGAGGCAAAATTTAAGGGTGAGATAGTTCAATCTTTTCCCCACAGATTTCACTAAAGCTTTATCTTTTTTCTTCTTTTTTTTTTTTAACCATGAACTATGTCGCCCCTGGGACTGGGATCAGTTAAGTGCACATTACAAGTCGCCTTAGGAGTGGAGAGAGATGCCGGCTTCAGCCACAGCCGGGGGAAGCTGTGCCTCGTTTGACTTTTGAAAAGGTAAAATCAAAGACTGTAGCGACGGGAAACGGACGTATATGCAAGCAAAAAAAAAAAAAGGGGGGGGGGGTTAAATATTCCGCCTTGTGCACAGAGCTGTTTCCGCACGAGCCCTGCGGTTTTGTACTGTGCCCCTAAAGGGTTTTCAGTTTTGGAACTCGTAGGACGAGCGATGGTTGGCGTTAAAGGCCGTCGACATGCTGCAGAGTGACACACAATCACAAAGACCGGCGCGGTAACAACCAAAGGAGAACCACGTTCCATGTGCAATATGTGATGTCTACAAATGTGCCTATACACATAAGCCAGATGTTCTGTCATCTAGAGGTTGTTTACAGCTTATTAGTCAGCTTTTCTTCTTTCTTTTTTTTTCAGCTGTGACCATTGAGTAACGACATCATGTATAGCTCAAAGTTAGCCACTTTATTTGTCTACAAAATACACAGATAAACGGTTCTCATTTGTGACATTTCCACTTCTCATGGTCTTATTTCTGTCGTCTTTTTTTCCTTTTCTGTTTTTAAATGGCCTTTATGGTCTTCAGTGCATTTTCTTCCGCTTTCGTCTCTCGGCGAACTGATCGTATTTGACCAGCGGCAGAACGAGAGACGCCTGTTTGTGGCCGTCAAACTCCACGGCCTCTTTGTCTTTGCTCCGGGCCGGTTTCTTTAACGCCAGCCCCATTGACTTGGCAACCTCAATCATCCTGGAAAGAAAAAGAAAAGGCACATCGGTTTTGTCTTGGTGTGTTTAGTACGAGGCCCTGCTGAGCGTTTATTTAGTTGTTTTTTTTTCCCATTTAGTAACAAAATGAAGCTCTTTTTCTCACTTGGCCTCGGTGATTCCGAGGTCGCGGTGCAGTAGGGAGAGGTCGACCGTCATGCGACCCATGTGCAGCAGCAGAGCCAGGCTGTACGCTGCCAGTTTGGACCGCATCGACGTGGACACCACGTTCTGGACCCTGAGAGGAGATGGATGGAGTTCAGTAGTCTGACGCCCGACGAGGTCCTGTAAGCGACACCAAAACGCAGCGCTGGCCGTACCTGCCGTTGTTGAACGTCTCGACCGTGAACGTCCTGAACAGTTTGGTCTGGATGATGCGGGGGCAGCCCTCGTCCTTCCCAACTGCGCACAAACGGGTTTTTTTATTAGTACAAAGCAGGTTTTGAGCTCACTTCAGACCCCACCTTCACTTTGAATGTGGCACTTCCACCACTGGCTCTGTCCAGTCAGGATTAATATCCATAAAAGGTTGTAAACACGGGAACCTTCATTCATTTGCGCCGCACAAATAGATTTTGTTTGTGATTTGGCCAAACTAAGATGGTTTTTTTTCTCAGGACATCCAAAATGCATACATAGTAGATAGAGAATAACTAGAATAATTTTTCAGCTCAGAAAGAAAAAGAAAAAAAAAATTGTGTCTTTTAAAACGCAGCTGGAATTACGGTAGAGAAATCCTCCAGGGAGCAACATTTTCTGAGTTGTACACAAATCGGCTCTAAAAAGTTGTTGCTGTTCTTTTAAACCAAGAGACGAGCCAATGTGCACCGTACGCTGCAGTGACCGAGCAGAACACTGAATGTGACAGTAACTGAGTGTAATATCATAATTGTCACATGAATAAATCACCTTTTGAGACAAATCACAACCAGATAACTCGTGCTGCGTATTAAAATGTGCAAAACAACCTCAGCTGGCACACAAAGCGCCAACTAATGATCCGTCCAGGAGACTGGTTGGTGTTGCCTTCACGGCCCCGATAAAAGTCTGCACATCTCAGATCTTGAATATTTTACAAATCTCTAAAAATGTGTCAATATTATGCCTGTGCAAAATTCAATGGCTGAATCTATCTACAGTAAGGGTTAAGTAACTATTTGTTTTATTGTCCACCTATCAAATGAAACTAAGAATGTGTAGTTTCAAAACTCCCTCTGTTCCAGAATGATGGCACCCCTCTTTAAATCTGGCAGAAATTGTTGTCCCCCCTCCCCCTATTCTTAACCGACCCAAAACTCTCCAGTGGGGCCGCAGGAGAAAAAGAACCCAGCGTGACTCACACTTGAAGGTGACGCTCCTCTGCCGTGCCAGCTTGAGGAGCATGAGGAGGTAAAAGGCGCATCGTGACGTTCGGTCTGCGGCTTCGCCCGCTGTCGCAATGTCCTCCAGGTATTTAGCCACGCACAGGCACCTTCAGTAAAGAGCACAGCTTTCAATTAGAACCCAGCCACAAAAAAAAGACAAAAAAAGGACGGACTTTTGCTTACTTACCCTCCGTCTTTTAGATTCTGTAGCTCCTCCGGTGTGGATGCCGCCAGCTTGGCGCCGGCCTCCTCCAAAGCGGCAAACTCAACTGGACTCAGGACTGTTGGGAGTCAGTTAAGGGTAACGACAAACAAACCTCTGCTCTCCACGTCACACAAACGCACAGCGACAAAGACCAAATCGACATTTTTTAAATAAAAAGATACGCAGGTCGAACGGGTAGACGTCCTCTGGCATGTCTGCGTCTGGGTCGCAGGGGGGCAGGTGGGAGGCCACAGCTCCCTGGGACTCCGTGTCAGCCACTTCCTGTTGAAGAGCTGGATAGAAACAAGTAGCAAAAAAGTGAGATGAAATCCAGAGGAGCCAATTCAAGCACATATATTTAGGCTTTCCCTTTTTCTTATCATATATACATGTATATCTATTCTTTGTCCAGCATGGCGCTCACCTTCCAGGCCCTTCTGCTCGATCACGGTGCCGGCCGCTTTGGCCACCGCGTGCTGGAGCGTGTCGCTGCCCACCTGGTTGAGTCTGCGGGAGCTCAGAGCTCGCTTTTGTTTGTTGGTGCCAAAGGCTTCGATCAACGAGTCAACCTAACAGAAATAAAAAGAAAAAAGGACGCAGCATTAGCCTTTCTTCCCCCCCCCCCGCTCAGGGACGGTGATTTAAAACACTGACACCATTCTACCTTGTGTCTGTAGGACTGTGTGGCGTCTTGAGGTTTCTCCGTCTCCGTCTTCTCTCCTGGTGAAGAATCAGGATAAATTAAATCCACAGGATCTTTTGGGATGAGGTCGACTAGCTGTGCTTTATTCCAGCTCTCAGTATGCGCTGGTATGTGTTTTTTTTTTCTCTTTACCTGGAATGACAGGTTTCATGTTGAATATCTCGGCTCGGTGCACTTCCATCTCCATGGTCTGTCTGTTCAACACTCCGACATAATATCTGTGGAGGCACCAAACAGCTAAAATTAGTCTGTACCAGGCAAATAACCAGCAGCATGCAGTATACACTGAATATACCACGGGCACGCACTTGCAAAGACTGTTGCATTTCAGAGACGCTCCTCCAAAGTTCTGTCCAACATAAGACAGCCTGTCTGATTCAGCAACCTCAACAAAAAGGGGGGACAAATGGTTACTGAATGTTGGACCATGTTAACACAAACAGGCACGTCCATTCTCCTCCTCACCACCATCCGCCTGCTCCTCTTCTTCGGGTTAGTCTCATCTGCGTTCTTGAACATGGCGAAATCCAGCTTGTCTGCATTTTTGACGCAGCCATTCGAGAAGCGTACTGTGAATGTAGGAGATTTAACAAAAGAAAAGGCGAATAAGTTATCACAACGTCCACGCCGCAAAACAAACGCACGTGACCCGAGCATAGACGCGGTGCCGGGCAGCACGACGGCGTTTTAAAAGGCCCAGCTTTAATTGCCGTTACCAGAGGCGTCTTTAAAAAAATATTCAGAGTGAAAAAGTCAAATATTCACCAATAACGGCCTTGTCGGAATCCGTCTCCTGGCCACAGCACACGAACGAGCAGGAGGCAGCCATGACAGTTTCAAAGAGTTCTTCTATGGGTGAAGATGACTCCCTCGGCTGTACTTCCGTCTTCGTCGATGCTTTTTTTTTTGTTTGTTGTTTTTGTTTGTTGTCCAGCACCTAAGCGCATCTTACATATTGCATTTCTTAGGACTGTAAATTAATATATATAGAGTTTTCTAGACTCAAACTAAAACTAAGGGACATAATTTTCGTCTCAGACATGATAAAAAAGTTTTTTTATATATATTTTGAGCAAAGAACTCAGAATTTCTGAGATCTGAAGCCCGATTCACAGGTTGTCCGTTGAATTAATTAACATAATTAATATAGATAGTAGATATAGTGGATATACAAGTAGATATACAAATGGGTTCCAAATGTTTAAGTGTTTTTGGCTATTATTGGATCTTAAAACATGTCATTTCACCTTATTTCAGTTCTGATCAATCTAGATTTCAGTTGAACTTGTATGAACAACAGCAATAAATCAAATTTACAAAAGATTATTTTTTCAATTACAGACAGACGATAAAACAGAGACAATTTATTTGTGTCTGTAGTATATATGTTATCCCTGAAGAGTAGAGACGATAGTTGAACATGAACATCGTGAAATCCATAATGATGCGTGTACCTTATATTAAGAGCCAAACATCCCACTCAGTTTAGATACTATTGTGTGAATGGATTAATGAAAAAAAGAGTGATTTATTGTGCATATATAGTGACAGGTGTGCCGTAGGAAGAGGGAGTTCTTAAGCAAACAGGACCAAACTGAATGTTCCTAT